GTGCCTACTGAAAGTACAAAAAAAATTAGCCAGGCGTGGTGGCACATGCCTGTAATCTCAGCTACTCGGGAGGCTGAGGCAGAAGAATTGCTTGAACCCAGGAGGTGGAGACTGCAGTGAGCCAAGATTGTGCCATTGCACTCCAGCCTGGGCAACAGAGTGACACTCCATCTCAAAAAAAAAAAAAAAAAAGAAAGAAAGAAATCAGATCAAAAGTTGTTTCTGGTGGGAGGTTTGACTGGGAAGGGGGAATAGGGATCTTTCTGGGGATTGATGAAAATGTTCTGTATCTTGATAAGAATTTTTTTATATGGATTGAAGTGTTTACTTCAGACATAAGGATTTAACTATACGTAAATTATAAATTTTATACAGGTGACCATTCTGCTATGCTTTCGAAGTTTATGTTTCAACTTTTTATTATTTATTTATTTTTGAGATGGAGTTTCACTTTTCTTGCCCACGCTGGAATGCAATGGCGTGATCTCCACTCATTGCAACCGCTGCCTCCTGAGTTCAAGCGATTCTCCTGCTTCAGCCTCCCAAGTTGCTAGGATTACAGGCATGTGCTACCACACCTGGTTCATTTTGTTTCTTTAGTAGAGATGGGGTTTCACCATGCTGATCAGGCCGGTCTCAAACTTCTGACCTCGGGTGATCCACCCACCTCAGCCTCATAGGCGTGAGCCACCATGCCCAGCCTCAACTTTTCATTTTTTAATTATTATTATTTTTTTAAAGGCTAGTCAAGTGATGCAGTGAAAGTGGAGAAGAAACAAATTTGTGATTAAGGTTTTCAAAATAAAAAGTTGAGGCCGGGACCGGTGGCTCACGCCAGTAATCCTAACACTTTGGGAGGCCAAGGTGGGAGGATCACTTAAATCCAGGAGTTTGAAACAGCCTGGGCAACATGGTGAAACCCTGTCTCTACAAAAGATACAAAAATTAGCGGGGGGTAGTGGTGTGCCCATGGTCCTAGCTACTTGGGAGGCTGAGGTAGGAAGATTGTTTGGGCTGGGAGGTGAAGGTTGCAGTGAGCTGTGATCATGCCATTGAACTCTACTAGCCTGGGCAACACAGTGAGACCCTGTCTCAAAAAAAAAAAAAAGCGAGGAAAAAAATTTTTTTTAATTCCTTGTTCAGTTTCCTTGGTATTAGTCTTGGTAAAGTCTAAGACTAAGACAGTATTGGCAAAGTGTATAGGAGTTAGATAATGTGATATAAATAGATATATGCTTAGCAAAAGAAGAAAAGTGGCTTGGAAAACATCTGGGAGGCCTGAGCACTGTCACAGGGAGAGAGGAAGTAATCAGTTGGAAGGAAAAGAAAGATATTAAAATTGGTAATGGGTTCAGAGACAGGATGCGAAAGGATTAAGAAGACAGGTGCTTGGAACTAAACTCAATGTTACAAGGTTGGTCCAACCAGGTTGGAATACTCTTTGCTAAAATTACTAGGATATATCATATGGTTCTTAATTATGTCTTAATGAAGTGCTGTTTTTGGGGGGGTATGTGTTTATCAGCTGTTTAGATTCAAAATCAGCTTAGTCAGCTGTTTAGATACAAAAAATTTACCATCTTTCACTTTATGAGTTTACAAAATACACTCATATACCTGATCTATCAGAGCACTAAAACATTTTTCACTGGGAATGTAATAAAGAAAAAAGATATATTTAATAGAATTCCTCTGGTAGAAGAGTTCAGCATGTGGCTGGAACTGGTACTTTGATATGTGGCCTTTTGTGAGTGATTACTGCACCTCCCTCCTTCTCCACTCCCCTCTAAGGGTATACAACATTACCACGTTATAAGGAAGTTGGATTCAAGTAAGTGCAGGGATTTCTTTTTAATGAGGATATATAAAGCTAGACCAGAGCAGAAATGATCACAACAGTGAAGAGAGACATGCCCTTTCTACCCTTTACCACTCAGCCATTCCTTTGAACATATATTGAATGATTATTAGGGAGTATAGATTAGAAAAAATGCCAAATTAATAATCTGGTCTGGTAAGACAAAGTAGCACCCTATTTCAGAATTATTTCCATTGCAACTAATAGAAATCTCAAGTCAAACAACTTAAAACCTTACAAGAAAAGCATTGGCTCAAGAAAACTGGCCAGTACAGAGGAAGAGTGAGTATCAAAGTCAATGCTGAGATTTTTTGTGTGTGATCTTTCTGCTCACAAGAAGGGTTGGTTCTCAGGTTGGCTCTTCACTGTAGCAAAATGGCGAGTGTTCCACATGCCAGAAAGTCTTATCTTTAATCAGTGAATAAATGTCCCAGGCTTCCCTCTGATTGGCCTACCTTAGGGCATGGGTCCACACTTGATCTACTTGGCAAAGCCTATAAATGCTCAGTACTAATTAGATTTATATGCCCAGGTGTGATCTAATACTGTAGCCAGAATGACTTTAACAGTCCTTAATGGCTCAGGCCAGTCTAGGGCAGCACCTAGAACTCTTTGCAGTCAAACCTACCCAACCCACCCAGGAGCTGCTACACATTGAGGAAGGGGCAGAATGAATGCTGAGAAGCAACTACAACGAACACTGAAGGTAAGTTTCAGTGGGGCTTTGCTTTGCTTCTCTTACTGTTTTGTGTTTATGTTGGTCCCCTTTACGGGTGTAAGCTCCTCCGTGGCAGGGCCGTATTGTACTCTATTCATCTATTCCCTGAAAACTCCTTGCACAGTGACATTCACTAATGTCTACTAAACAATGTTAAATTCTACTGAGGTGTAAATCAAGGTCTACGACGAATAAATCAAGAGTAAGAATAAGCCAAGCTAAGCTCACAAAGTTAATGGTGGACAGATTTAGAACCTGGACATCATTCATTCCTTCCTTTATTCATTAAACAAATACAAGGCCAACTATTTGTTAGGCATTTATCAGCCATTATAGTCTAGTGGGTTTACAATTTTTTAATAAAAAATTTTAAAACAATTATTTATCTTTATTTTTTGAGACAAAGTTTCACTCTTGTTGCCCAGGCTGGAGAGCAATGGCGCCATCTCAGCTAACTGCAACCTCCGCCTCCTGGGTTCAAGCAATTCTCCCGTCTCAGCCTCCCGAGTAGCTGGGATTATAGGCATGTGCCACCACACCCAGCTAATTTTTTTTTTTTTTTTGAGATGGAGTTTTGCTCTTGTTGCCCAGGCTGGAGTGCAATGGCGCTATCTCCGCTCCCTGCAACCTGTGCCTCCCAGGTTGAAGCAATTCTCCTGCCTTAGCCTCCTGAGTAGCTGGATCACAGGCAAGCACCACTACGCCTGGCTAATTTTGTATTTTTAGTGGAGATCGGGTTTCTCCATGTTGGTCAGGTTGGTCTCCAACTCCTGACCTCAGGTGATCCGCCCGCCTCGGCCTCCCAAAGTGCTGGAATTTCGGGCGAGCCACGGCTCCTGGCCTAATTTTTGCATTTTTAGTAGAGACGAGGGTTTCACCATGTTGGCCAGGCTGGTCTCGAACTCCTGACCTCAAGTGATCCACCTGCCTCGGCTTCCTAAACTGCTGGGATTACAGGCATGAGCCACTGCACCCGGCCAAAACAATATGTGTGTGTGTGTATATATACACACATATGTATATCAAATAAACAATCACACAAATACCTACATAATTACCATGGAGACATCTCAGGAAGAAGTAGTTCAGGTTCCTAGGAGAGGTCATAACAGGGGACTCTGAATTAAAATGTGGGATGTGAGTGAGGATGGTCTTCCTGAGGAAGTGGCACTTAAAGTGAAACCTGAAGGATGAACAGGAGTTAGGAACAAAGAGAGTGGGAAATTATTCTTGGTTCAAGAATCAACATTTAGAGGCCTTAAAACTTAACGGGAGGCCGGGTGCGGTGGCTCACGCCTGTAATTCGAGCACTTTGGGAGGCCAAGGCGGGTGGATCACCTGAGGTCGGGAGTTCAAGACCAGCCTGACTAACAAGGAGAAACCCCATTTCTACCAAAAGTACAATCCCAGCTACACGGGAGGCTGAGGTAGGAGAATCGCTTGAACCCGGGAGGCAGACATTGCGCCAAGATCGTGCCATTGCACTCCAGCCTGGGCAACAAGAGCAAAATTCCGTCTCAAAAAACCAAAACCAACTTGCGGGGTGCGGGGGCAGGGGAGTGGAAGGAAGACCTGGAAGTGCAGTGCGGATGAAATGAGGGGTAGTGGGAAGAGGCAGTAGGTAGGAAGCTGATTAAATAGGGCCTTAAAAGTTACATTGTTTTAAAGACCTTTCGTGGGTGGGTTCTACCCAATTCTTCGAGGAAATTGAACCCTGGACACCATCCAGCGATTTTTCTGACAGTCTTGAATCAGCATCTTCCTTCATCCTTTATCAGCACATTACGTGGGGGGGGGGGGGGGCCATCAAGCGTCTATCTACTTACTCTGCCTTGGTGTTTGACTCCTTCCTAGCTATCAGATTTCCCTGACTTTTTAGCATGGCCCTTCTGAGCGCTCTTATTTCACTTCTCCTCCAACCCTAACTCTCCCAACTCTGCAGTCCGTGACCTTCAGGTGCCCTTGAAAGTCAGAAAAACTCGGCAAGGTTGGTACTTGGAGGACATTAGCAATTCAAAAAGGTGTCACACAACCTCACCATTAGATGGGAACAATAGCTTACCCATATTTAGATAATTCCGCCACAACTACTCTGGGGGATGGTTTTATTTGAGGCGGCTTTTTCGTCCATAGCTACCGCGTGAAGGGCAACGTAAGAATCTTCCCGAATGCTCCTGACACGCGTCCCGGCCGCCTCTTCTTCCTCCCCGCCACTTCCCCAGGCCAGGCCCGCGGATAACGCCTCAGTTGCGACCCAGCTCTAGGCAAGTCCGCAGGGGCCTCCGCCGGGGAGGGAAGGCACGACGCGAGGCCAGGCCGCTGGGTAGCACGCCGGGGTAGCTGCGGGCGGGCGCCGTCGCTGGGCGGACGGAAGGCGCGGGCGGAAGGCGGTCGCGCGGGTGGGCAGGGGGCACCGCTGGGGGCGGGGCTTCGGCGCGTCGGGGGCGGGGCTCCCGCGCCGTTCACGTGACGGGCCCGGCGGTAGCGGCGGCGGCCGCGGTGTCTTAAGCGGCGCCCAGTGCAGGATGGTGCTGGAGGCGGCGGCGGCCGTGGTGGCGGCGGCGTCGTTGGAGGCAGCGGGAGTGGGTGCGGCGGCAGCGGCGGCGGCGCCCGCGGGTGGTATAAAATGGCGGATTTCGAAGAGTTGAGGGTAAGCGGGGGCGCGGGAGTGGAGAGCGGAGGCCGCGGGGGAGGGGATGGGAGAGGAGGTGGGGAAACCGCAACGTCGCCGGCCGCAGCCTGCTCGTGCCTCCGGGGCCGGTTGGCGGAGCCCTGAGCCCCGGCCCGCGGACGAACGGGCGCCGAGCGCGCGGGGGAGGGGAGCGGTCCGGCGGAGGGCACGCGGGCGGTGCGGGGGCGGCGGGCCTGGGCCGCGGCTAGCCGTCCCCTGAGTGCTGCCGGTGGTCCGCACACCTGGCGCGGGGGGCCGGGGAGCCCTCCGGGAGGGTCACATGGGGACCCGACATCCCAGTTAGCAGTGAGGGCCGAGGTGGGAAGCAACGTTTGATCTCCCACCTTCACCGGGGTGTACGTGTCTGTGGCGATTCGCAAGTCTGCATGCTACTCAGTTGGTGGAGGACTGTTTTCTGAAAGGTAAAGTTGCGTTTAGGAATCTCTCTTCTTATGGCTGATGCTACTGTTTAGTCAGATCTGTCACGAGAAAAGGCCCCTTCTCCCACCCATGCCTCCTAACATCTTCGAGAGGAGCCTGGTGTTTGAGGAATCCTGCCTTCAATAATCGGCCTTAAACCTCGATGTTTTCTTAGTACTGTAGCAAGAAATCTGCAAAGTCTGTGTTGTGAGGTTTGTGCACCCCTTTTACTCTTGAGGAAATATTTTTTTCTTCTTAGCCTTAAAACAAAATAACTTTATTGTTGATACCTTTGTATAGCAGAGGTTTGGAATAGGGCTGTGACTGGGGTAGAACAGAAAAGACTTCCCCCCCCAGACTGATAACCTTCAAAGTCCTTAACTAAAACAAAACTAAGTGTGACGAATGGGATGGATTTATTTTGTGTGTATCGCTGAATTACTGGCGACATTAAATGAGATGTTTACAGACGGAAACCCTGATTTTTCTTTTTTTAAATGTATTTTACAGTAGAGATGAGTGTAAACTTGAAATTAAATTTACTGCAACTCGTTTGTGTAACACTTATGATGTTACGATTTCTTTTTCAAATAAGGAAGAGGAATCCGGTAAAAGGTTCAGTTTTGTATATTTATTGTGTTCCGCAAGGGATGGGATGGGGGAAGGATGTTGGCTGGTTACCTGCTTAGTGGACATGAGCAAAAGAATGTATGTTCTGCTGTAAACAGAGATTGTTGGAGTTTGCACAGTGCCTGCCATATTCCCTCCTATTTCAAAAATAATTATTAAGTTCCCAGTAAACACATATTAATACATGTTATGCCCCGTAGTAGTTTATGCAGAGAACCATGTTTAGGTAAAGGGTGTTCATACTTGATAAGTGTAAGGGTTTTAGTGGCTCAGAGCCCCAGCTGTAGAGCTTTTAACACCTGTGGAGCTTTTGAAACAAGGAACCCTGAACCTCACCTCTGTAAATTCATGCGTTAGATTTAGGACGGGTTGAGAAGACTGAACTCTGAAGTTATATTTATTTTTACCTGCCATCTAGTTTTAATTTTTGTGTAGTAACAGATGTATACAAGTTTTCTAAGTTTTTTTTTTCGTTGTTAATGAAAACTTTCCAGTATTTTTGTTAGACTTTTGTGAATGTTATTGGCCAAAGCTTAATGTAAAGCGGAGAATTTACTCGCTCTTATAGAGCAGAATAAAAGCAGTCAGTGCTCAGATGGGAGTGCAACTAGCAACTGGAAAGTGGTAGAAACCAAAGAAGCCTTTTTTCTCTTCCTTTCTGTCTTCCTCTCTTTTGTTTTGTGGATCAGCATCATCCTCTCTTCCTGTAAATCAGCTGTCTTTACTTCTTGCATTTGTTAGAAGATGGCCCCTCTCCCACAATTCATATGAAGTGCCCAACAGACTAACTGGGGAGAATTTTCAGAGGAGGGAGGGGTACAGGCTGGGCACATGCAGTAAGCATCATCTGCTTTTCTTTGCCTTAACTGCTCTGGGCACACCCATGTTACCCTACACTTGAATATGAACTGTATCCCGCCCCTACATCCCATTACAGACCATAATGATGATGATGGTATATACCCATTTTAATACAGTGGTTATTCCATGCCCGGTTTTGGTCTAAGCATTTTTTCTATACTTAATTCTCACAATTTTTTGAAGAAAACGAAGCACAGAGAGATTAACCTGACCTAAATCACACAGCTTGAGACTTGAAAAGCTGAGATTTTTAATCTTAGACATGTAGCTTTAGAGTCTGGGCTTTTCAGAGCCCGAGCTACACTGCTTTGTTCTGGTACCTTGGGGTCTAGGTGGAGCTTCTAGCCATCATCCTGTGATTGATCCTAAATCAAATGATTGGTAACATCCTTCTTGTGTGACATTATAATAAAGGAAGAAAAACAGACTGAAAAACTGAGTAGAAAGAAAAGGGGAAGAAATCTTGGATTCTCAAAATGATGGTCCTTGGTTCAAAATATATTGTGATGGTCAGAGTGATGGTCAAGTAAATTATAGGACCAGGAAAAATTATGGGCATTAGTTTGTTGGCTAACTTCTTGGCAGTAGAGAAATTGGTCAGCCGATCTGGATGCCACATACTTGGCTGCTGATAAGCCACAGAGAAGATTTCCATTACCCTTCCAAAACCACTCATTTTGGACAAGTATAATCAGAGCAGTTCACATCCTGGCTAGTGCTGCATCTATACTGGAGGTAGGAAATTTTGGGAAAGGTCATCCTCAGTGTGGTTTGGTGACCCTTGTGCCTTTGCTTTTTAGACTTGTATGTGTGTGTGTGGCAGGGGTGGGGGTGGGTTGGTTATTAGATGAGGCAACTGTTAAGGGGTTGCCTGACCAACCATTTCAGTTTTGGAGACTGCTATGTGAGCCGGTACCAGAGATCTTGGCTGGTCATAGCAGAATATGGCAGCTCTATACCTTGTTGCCTTTCAATCCAGGTGACCAGAATACCAGCCTACCTGTCTTCCAGTTCTTCTGGGAGAGAGAATCTGATTGGCTGAGTTTAGGTCAAGCTCTACTTCTGTTCTAATCATCTATAGCCAAGGACTTAGAGTCAAAGCACATAAACCTAATCAACAGATTATCCTGATGGGTTGAAGGAAAGGAAGTGGGGAAGTTCTCTGAAAAGGGAAAATATGGCCTGTGTACTTAAAGATGATTACAATAATGTGTTATATATTAGAAGCGTTCAAGGTACCAGAGAAGAAATTACTCAATTCGGCCGGGCGCGGTGGCTCTTGCCTGTAATCCCAGCACTTTTGGAGGCCGAGGCAGGCGGATCACGAGGTCAGGATATCAAGACCATCCTGGCCAACATGGTGAAACCCGTCTCTACTAAAAATACAAAAAATTAGCCGGGTGGGGTGGCGGGTGCCTGTAGTCCCACCTACTCGGGAGGCTGAGACAGGAGAATGGCATAAACCGGGTAGGTGGAACTTGCAGTGAGCGGAGATTGCACCACTGCACTCCAGCCTGGGCGACAGCGAGACTCCGTCTCAAAAAAAAAAAAAAAAAATTAGTTCGCCAGTTGCTTATTTATGGCGTCTATGTTGTTAGGAGTTGAAGGAGTGATTAGTTTGTGAATGAACAGATATTGAATTAATGAGTTGTGAATTAATATGGGACAAGATCATAAGATTTGAGGCCCGAACTTCTGTCGCTGCTGCCTTGCTTCCTCAAAAATGGTCCGGAGGGCAGGGCGTGGTAGCTCACACCTGTAATTTCAGCGCTTTGGGAGGCAGGATGATGGCTTGAGGCCAGGAGTTCTGGGTTACAGCTAGGTCTGATCCTGCCTCTGCACTCCAGCCTCAGCGACAGAGGGAGACCCTGTCTCAAACAAGTCTGTAGAAGAGCTAAGCACAGGGATGGAGGAGAGCAGGAGTTGAGTTTCTGGAATCACTTACCTCTTCTTTAACCAGAGCAGCTTTTTCTTTACCCTTGTATTTCCCTTCCAGTTGCATATTTCCAACACTGTGATCTGCTGGTGGCAGTCATTCACAAAAAGGTCCCTGCTACACTTTAACCTGGTTAATCTACTTTCCCTACTTCTCATCACTCAGTGGGGAGGAGGGGGATCTATTGTAGTGAATTTTCTTTTTTAAAGGATCTCCCTTCTGTATTCTTCATCCCCTTCTTATCATGCATTGAGAATTTATTCTGTGTGTGTCTCAGAATGAGAGTGAATGTGCATGTGAGAATCTAGTTGTGCATTTGGCCTGAGAGCCAGCGATAACTTTATCAATAGATACTGGGTAAACCAGAGCATTTACCAAACTGGGTAAATTTTTTTGTGTCATAATTTGAAGATCAGGTTTGGGTCTTTCATGCTAAGAAGCTTAAGTAATTCTGTAACAGAAGGTTTTCTGTCTAGAAGGCTTAAATGTTTGGTTTCCTTACACCTACCAGGAGTCACCATCCTGATAACTTCAAGTGCTGTTAGGATGCAGAGGGAGAATGGGAAGTTAATGGGGGATTTGAGGTTAGAGGTCCTCATCATACTCCTCTCCCCATTTATTGGGCAGGGATATAAACTAGTAGATATGATAGATATAACAGAATCTTCCATATGATTCAAAGCTATTATGGGACGCAACTAAAATTTCCAAGGCTTCCCCTGAGATCGTGTCTATGAAAGCACGTTCGAAACAAAATATATTTAATTTAAAGTGAAATAAGCTGGGCACAGTGGCTCAAGGCTGTAATCCCAGCATTTTGGGAGGCTGAGGCGGGTGGATCACCTGATGTCACATTTTTTAGTCTCTCATTTCCATTTCTCATGTTTTTTAAATGAAAGCAATATTTGTGCAGACAGTACTGAAAAAATTCAAAATAGTGAAGGTCTTCCCTTTTCCATTAAGTTCCACTCCTGTTATGCTTTTAACCATTTTTTGTTTGTTTTTAGGATTTTATTGTTGTTGTTCCAAAAGTCTAAAAATATTATACCATGCCTTTCTCACTATATTTTTTTCAACTCAAAAAAAATGTTTCTTAACTCTTTGGTAGATAAGAAATTTAGGTCATTTTTCC